AAAAATCAAAAAACTTACAAAAATCAGAAAAATAAAAAAAGTTTGATCTCAGTTGTTTCCCCCTTGATTTTTTGTTTGATTCTTTCGCAATAGAATAACATCACTAGCATTTCATCTGCTTTTAAGTTGCTAGTTCTAAAGAAACACTTGAGATGTCTTCTTTTCTAGTGGCATATAGACCTCGAACAATGACAGATTATTAGCAGTATATATGTACTATATTTGATAAAAATTTTACGCTTTTCTAATAAGTGATTAAAGTTAAATGAATATATAACTCTTGAGGTACCAACATGACTGGGCACGCCCATATATATATCCAATACCTTTCCACTTTTGAGTACGACAAAGATACAAACGAAATAAAAATGCAGTCGTTATTTATGAAATATTCTTTAGAAACGAGTTTTCCGTGCTGATTCAAATATTGATTTATATTTTCGTCATTATATTAGTGTTTGATAATATAACTCTATCATTTTCATTGGAAAACATATCTTATCTGGACTGACTGTTTTTTAAATAGTGACACAATATAAATAGATATTTCTTGATTACAATCATGTAGACTTGCATTGATCGAAATCAATCTAACCTCGCTAGAACATTTTTTCCTGTGAGAAGATTTCAAAAGGTGATAAGCATAGTTCATCTCAGTGAATTATATATTTTCATTTGTGTTCGTAATATAAATTCTTTGTTCATAATTCTTCATTGTCAAACGCTGCTCATAGCGATTGTTTCCGAAAAGAAATGTTAGAATATTGTATCCTGTTTTTTTTTCTTTAAGTGTCACCAATCACGCAGAATAAAGAAGCAAAACAAGCATAACAAAAAGAGACGAAAGCTAAAGAGATCCGTCAGCGATCGAAGTTCTGACACGATAGTCCCACGCAATGAAGATGAAACAGATGATCAACAGCCAGCAGAGAGATTAGATACCCATGTTGAAATCAATTCAATGAGCAAATGTGATAGCGAAAATACAAATTTGAAGGAAGGATATGGCATTCTTGATTTAGTAATGGCTTTAAGAATGGAAAATCAGAATGTAATTGCTGCTGAGACTGCACACAGAAATAATCGACTGATTGCAATTGGTGGTGTCACCGGCGTTTACGATCGTCTCGATCCCGTGATAGGATATGCTGCAGAACCATTGTTACCACTTCATGAAGCATGTGTTCCATTAGCCGACATTCTCTACAACCTATCATTCTATGTAGAATTGGCACTCGATGAAACGCCACTGGAGCCACCCGATGGACTGACCATAGATGAAAGTGCTGCGATTCGTCTCTATACTATTGAATGGGAAAGACCACATCGAAGTCTCTATTCAATGCTTAACCATACTATCAAGATGTTGCCACATGAAGAACTTCGACCTTATTTCAAGTATCTCAAGTTGCTTTTGACTGCTCTCGTTAAAATACCTTGTGTTCCACCGTTAACAGTTTGGCGAGGTGTAACCAAAAACTTAACTGATGATTTTCCACCAGGCACTATCGTAACATGGTGGGCATTTTCATCGTGCACTAAAGAATTGACCGTATTAGAAGATAACAATTACCTAGGTATGAATGGCGAGAGAACTCTTTTCTCTGTTGAAGCGATCAATGGTCGCGCAGTGCAGGCTCACTCACATTTCGTTACCGAAGATGAAATTCTTCTTTTACCTGGTACACAAATGGAAGTTCAATCGCTGTTTAATCCGGCACCTGATCTCCATATCATTCATTTAAAACAAATAATACCAATCGAGACTCTTCTCGAACCCCCATTTAAAGGCAAACTTAACAAAGCGTCAAAGTAAGAACGAATATTTGAATTCGTTTGTTTTAGGTGCTCATCTCTATCCGCCTGAGAAGAAAAAACTACCTTGGTACAAGAAGAAACGAACAATATATGAATTGATTTTGGTTACTATGGTCTGTATCGCTGGTATTATTATTGGTGGAGTATTTGGTTCGAGACGTACCCCTCCACCTCCCAGTATGTTGCATCAGTTTTCATAGAAAAAATGTTTGCGTTTCGTTGTCAAGTTGAATGAGCAGAGAATAGAGAATTTGACGCATGATACCAAACTCGAAACTAATTGATATATCATCTCAACTTAAATCTATTTCGAAACTTTCACACTAAATTTAAATGCGTCGTGTTTATGTGTCGTGAATTATTGTGTTGGGCACTCCAGCACAAAAATGTGTCGTATACGAATTTGTCGTGTTCTTTCTGCTGACTATTCGTTCATCGTTTTGTGATGCACACATTGCGACATATAAACAACGCGGTTGAACGTACGAAAGATAAATTTTCAAAATATTCGTTTTTTCTAGATTATTTCTCGGTAATTTTTTTGTCGAGAAATTGCTAATCTCAATCCATGATCGAGAGAGGACTACCCTGAAGCGGTGTGGTACAAATCGGATCAACTCAGGATCTGACCTGCTTGAGTTTTCATAATAGAAATAATTAAATGGAATTAAATTGAAAAAAAAATTGAAATATGCTTTTTCAAAAGAACCAATAGGAAATGTGTCGTACAAAATGTGTCATGGTCTTGCTGGAGAAAATGTGTTGCAGTGAGCTCTTCATGTCACACTTTAATGTATCGCAAATCACGACACATGCGACACATTTTTACTTAGTGTGTTCCATAAGTCGTGATTCATTCAGAGAAATGTCATCCTCTTTGAGCAGATATTACTTAGAAATTAATGAATTCTTCTGATGTTCTTTGAAAATAATCATAAATAATGGGTCATCTATGATGCCAACACACTTGCTAGTTTTATTGGATTTTATTAAATATATTTGATTATTTCTGAATATACTCTATAGCTACTGTTTTAGTATTCACTGTTACAAGTGGAAACTATTGCAAGAAAATCGTTTGGATTTACTATTGAATCTTATATAATGCTACATGAATAGAATATGTCGATGTTTTGATCGGAAATCTTTTTCATCCGTTTATGAGCAGACAATTTTTGATATCATAATAACTTTTAAAAAATGTTCTTTAGAAAGCAGTTCCTTCAAGAGGAACATATCTTTCATCTATCGAAATTTCTTGGAGATTTTTCATCATAATTGAGAAATAAAAAATAAAAAAAGTGTACTCTTGTCTTATTTTCTGTCATTCGATAATAATTGCTCATCTATTTAGTATGTTTACCTCATAAAACAAACCTGATAGTTGATTATTTGTGGTCCTTTGATTGTGGTGATGTTCGAGAAGATTTGACCGGTTTGTACAATGGTACTGCTGTAAATGGAGCTAAGGTTAATTCAGTTGACTATTCCGGGCAAGGCAAGGCATTATATTTGGATAGAAATCAAAAGCAATATATCATACTTCCTCGTTCATTGAATCTGACACTCAACACAAGTTTTACAGTGTCTTCCTGGCTTTTAATTGCTGGCTATAAGCCAAAAACTATTTTAAGCGATTGTAATAGTTTCAATTCAATATGCATCAGCTTCGTCATCGCTGATACTACTCTGAACATTCAGATTTCAAATTGGGATAATCCAACTATCATTCAAACAGTATTTGTTTCTTTTCAAAACTACGCTTGTCAAGCTTGTTGGATTCATGTGGCATTCTCATTTAATCATCAAACTGGATCGACTATTTTCTATTTCGATGGCATACAAATTGGAGAAAAATATTTGAATTTGACTATTGCAACCTTGTCACAAGCAAACAAAATGAAAGCAACCTATATTGGATTGGATGCCGTGACGAATGTACTACCATTCTATGGTCTCATTGATCAATTGTCTGTTTTGTATGTAGTGAAAAATGCCAGTATAATTCTCTTTGAAGCAACCGTAGTTTGTCGCTACACATTCGAGGGTGCCGATATCAATGTTGGTTCGGGTCCGAATAGTATTCGAGCACGTAGCCAACATGTCTATCGATTGTACTCGAACAATATGAGTACTCTTCTTTTCAATGATAGTGACTCGTATTTCCAATCGAGTGGATTCACTCTAATGAACTCAATTGGTTATGAATATTCTCTGACATTCTGGCTTCGTTTGGTAATACAAAAACCGGACACAGCTAATAGTGCTATCGCTGTCTTACAGTTTACATCATTGGTTGCTGAAATATCAACAGACAGCTATATATGCCTCATGAGTATACATGTTTACCCGGAGAATCAGACTTTGGGATTTTTTTTTCCCGGATTCTTCGGAATAATCAATGTGAACAATTCCTTCATAAGAAACAATACTTGGGTTCATATTGGTGTGGCGTTTAAGAGCCCAGAAACATATTTATTTTATGAAAATGGCAAACTGATTTATAAGGACACGAATCGACGCTATGGATCGATCATATTTGGTAATCCACGACTTTCTATAACAATCGGTGGCGCATACTTGAATGATTCTGCACCGAACAAGCCTGATAATTTTGAACGGATGAAATGTTTTGCAAGACTTCCTATCTTTAATTATACAAAGATGTATGGAGAAATTGATGATTTCACATTTCATGCAAGACAATTAACAGACTCCGAATTTTCAACTCTGGCTCAGTCTAAGGATACAAAAAACTTGATTAAAGAACTATGAGAGTTTACTTAGGGTTGGTCAGTAGGATAGAACATTAGCTAATTCTACTATTATCTTGAGCATATTATGCTAACGTTCATGTAGTATTTCTTTTTCTCTTTGATTTATTGTTAAAACCATGATTCACTATATATCAGTTCAGTAAAAATAAAAACTCAAATATTAAGCGGTGCAAAAAATCTGTGGAAAAATGTCAGACTCTATTAAACCACATTGCTGACTTTTAAATCAATCAATTTTTGTTTTTGTTGGAAAGAGAAATGTCTGAACTACAAATTTTGTAGTAGACATATTTTTCCAGAACAAATCTGAGAAAGAAGAAAAGCCAAAAACCAAACACCTCTAAAAAGGTTCTTGCAACTTTTTTGCAAATTGAAAGGTTTGTACTTTCCGAGTATTTTTAGCCACATGAACCAGATTATAACAAAAAAATTACACCAAAATATAGCGCATCAAACACTCTATCGATATCAGCTTTGGTAAAATTTTTTAGATTCGTTCTTCATTCTTTAAACTGAAAAGTTTGAAAATTGAAATTTTGTAAAATAGAGTTTTTCGAAAAGACTATCAGTTTACAGGGACATCAGCCATCATGTCCAGAAAGTATGATAAACTGAATTCTTTGTGCGTTATTACTTTTAAATACATCAGTTTATAGAGGCTTAGCAGAAAAAATAATTCAAAAAACATTTTTTTGTCGTTGCAAAACAGTCAACTAGTAAGAATAGTCAATTATATTTTAGGAAAAGCTGTATTTTATTATAAAAACCAAGTGTTAATTTAACTTGCAATACACCATTGGAAAGAGTTACTACTCTTCGTGCTACAAAAATCATCATTCAATGTGTTTTTCATTTCTCTTCTAATATAAAAAAATAAACAGAAAATATGTTCTGGAAAAATATGTCTGCTTCAATATTTGTAGTATAGACTGTGCTCTTTCCAACAAAATAAAAATGATTGGTTTAAAAGTC